AACAGGCAATTAATCAATTCTCAAGAGACTGGCTGGGGGGGGGAAAAGGGGGGTTGGATTGCTTATGTCCAATGGGATGGTGAAGGACAGGGACAGGAGGGACAGGCTCCGGGACAAGAGCAGGCAGATTTCAAGAGGGACTACTGCATCTCCTTCAGCGAATGGACTAAAGTGGACCAGAGCGTGCCGTTGCTATCTCCGACGGATTTTCCGGACCCGTTCCCAGAGTTGGGCACCGGGCGCCCACAGCCGCACCCACCTGCACCCACCTGACCCACAAGGTGATGGGTCGGACTTAGCTCTACATGAGCTGTCTTGGGTGGTTATGGGCGGGTGCAGCCAGCATGCCTTTCTGGGTGACGGGCGGGTGAAGATTTGACCTGGGTCACTCACTGGGTGGGTGGAAGGCGGGTGATGGCTTGGCATGGGTCACCCGACCCATAGACCCAGGATGACCCTGAAATTATGCAAACCTCCCCCCCCCCCGCCCCTTGTGTAGTGCGTCGGGCTTGAGGTTGAGAGCCAAAGAAAAAAGTGCCTGATTCAGTTGACCAGGTCCTGATAAAGTAACGCCAGTGCGAAAGAAAAAAAGCGGCACGCTCCAGCAGTGCAGCTGCCTCTGGGAAAAAAAAAAAAATCTTGAAATATTTTCCTTTGAGATGTTCGAGTCTCATTGCTTTGTTTTGTTTTTTTTGTTTTTTTTTTTAATATAAAGCCCAGGTTGTTGTAGAAGCCGGAGTCCAAACACACGGGGTTACTGACAGAGCTATTGGTTGTCCTGACAGTCCCTTATCCTCCGTAAGACCACTTTCCCTACCCATCCTCTCGGCAATTCTCCTAGCGTACCCCTATCCTACTATCCTACCTGAGTATTGAGTACTCAAGACTATCACCATGCTATGTTGCCATTGTTTTAATAATAGGATTTTAGATGTCGTTGTTGCAATGCTATGTTGCCGATGAAATGGTGATGGTGTAAGGGACTGTGCAGGAGGGTGCCGGTTCGAGGCCGTCCGTGTACGGCGGGGCATGATGCTCCAAACACACGTTGTTCAGTAATCACTGTGAAGGCGTCCGTGAACCTCGGGCAGTTGGCCCTTGTGCGTGAGCGGGATAAAGTAGCGGTGGTGAGCTGCGTGTTGTCCAAGCGGAGTGTGTGTGGATTGTTCGAGTCCGTGGTGTGGTGTGTGTGTGGGTGTGGTGTGAGTTCAAGGACGCTACAACCTTGGAGGTGGGCCGCATATCACGACCGGTATGGATGCAGTTTTTATAACAACTCCAAGGGTTGTAGTGGTTACGATACTTCGCTTCTGTGCAGGAGGGTGCCGGTTCGAGGCCGTCCGTGTACAGCGGGGCATGATGCTCCAAACACACGTTGTTCAGTAATCACAGGCTGATGCGGGTGGGTGTGGATGAAGAAAATTCAGGTATTGGACGCGGGCGGGTGATGATACTCTTACGGGTGCGGGCGGGTGTGGGTGAGGGCTTTTTTCGGGTCCTGGGCGGATCGGGCGTGGGGCTGAAATTTCAAAAAATATTTTGGGTGGGTGGGGTCATCTAAAAGTAAAAAATAAAATTCTTGGGCCTGGTGGATGGGGGGGAAAAACAATTGGGCGGGTTGGGTCGAGGGTGAGGAAAAAAAAAAATTGCCCACCTCTGCCCGTTCCCCCCCCCAACAGCTTTCCTTGGCAGACATGCGGTGGTACGGCGCAGAATAGACCGTCGGCATGGATGTGGCATCACCGAGACCAACAGAGGAGTGTGACGACCCCCCGTTCGTCAATTTAAGCAGCTCCAAGCGGGGGCCATAATATCCAACACGTCCACAGAACAACTGCAAAGTTTGAATTTCATACAGCGACAAGCACAACAATAAATTAACTGATTCATTTCATGTCAAACCGCCCTGGCCCAAGCAACAAAACCCCCTGGAGTAGCCATTTGGCTACACCCGATGTCAAGGTATACTATGTAATGGTTTCAATGGAGTGAATGCCCGTTCCCGTTCAAACGGGTAAGTTCAATTCCCCAAGCACTTCGTCCAATTCCGTTCAAACCGTTTACAGGCTACGTTGTGGGAAGTGATTAAACTTGGTGCACGCACGTACGGGGCTACCACGGGGTGCGGCGAGTTTGGTAATATCACAAAAAAAAAAAAAAAACCTCTATATCCCTCTCAAAACCCCCTAAACTGCCCCCCCCGCCTTGCAAAGCATATTCTCAACTGCCGCAGCCAATCCCNCCTTTTTTTTTTTTTTTTTTTTAATCAGAACCTCTCGGTTCTGGCTCCTGCCATTATGGGGAGCGACAGTCCGGTTCCTATTCCTTCGGCAAGTCAATCAGGAGTACAAGGATAACCCACAGGAGGCCCAAGTGAGCGACATTGATTGCTTCCGTCAGGAAGGATATAACACCCCTCACCCCTGCCTAAATTAACCTGTTGCAACTAAGCTTTTTCTGTGTGGCATCTACATGTCCCTTCTGCCTCTGTGTGCTCCTCTCAGCTATGGGCTGTCGGTTACTGCATGTATCTCTAGAGCATGTCATGCTTGATTTCAACATGGTTGTTGTCATGTTCATGACTTTTTGTTGTAGCGTCCATTGCAGATTGTAGTGGCCCTGCGATATCCTGAGGCATGTAGAAACACGGGAAGGATGGGGTCACCCTTTTTTGGAACGCCCGATCATGAGGGAACATTATTCCTATAGCACTGTTATCCCCATTCTGAATTGGATGTAGTCTAAGTTTATTCATGCTCACTATTTGGGTCATCTAACCCCTCCATCCGTATAGTGTATATCCGTGGGTGGGGTCGCGGCTTTGGAATCCATTGCGGGTTGCGGCGAAGCCCTAACAGCCAAGGTGCCTCGTCGTCCTCTGTTCTGATTGGAAGAATAACCACCCGTGAAAATCGGACTACTGGAGGAGGGGCGGGCCCGACTACGATGCTCAAGTGATCTTTAATGAAAATAAGTTTTATGGTGGCCCGTGGTTGTTGTTCTGTATTGCCCCCTAGTTGTTCTACTGGCGTTGCGAAGTTGGGAGCAGGGGCATGCTCAATTTCCAGTTTGTTGTTGTTCCCCTCTCTTGTTGTTGTTGTTGTTGTCAAGTGTGGGGAACTGTGGGTTAGTAACCGATGCCGAAAAATGAGATATAGTCAATTTTAGGTATGTATGATTTAAATTATGACGGTCACCCTGTGTTGTCGTCCAAGTTGGAGCTATGACTCATCCCATCACTTTCTTTGTCTGATTCAAGTTTCACATCTAACGGTTGTGCTATTTTTTTCTGCAGTCGGTCTTAGTTGTGGGTTTGTTGTGCCTGCCTGACGGTACCCCATGCTCACGACATCTTGATGTGGAGGAGGGGTCCGAGGAGGTGTTGCAACACCAAATCTTTCGGGCCTACATTGACAGGGGTTGCCTCGTGCAACCCCCCTCATATATGGTTTCCACCTCTTGCACAAGGACTGCAAGTCAGGTAATGCCTTCCCACGTTGTATCATGCACTTCTTGTTTTCATTGGATTATGGTGGCCTATTTAAGTCCCAGACAGTGTTCAGTTAGGAGCTTTTACTATTTTGTTTGTCGTCGTGTTTTTCTAACCTTTTCTTTGAGATCATATACTGCATTTCTGATCCGAATGGCCACCACTTACTAGTCGACTGTGGACGAGTCCTCGAATCCGTCTATGTATGGTGTGAGCGAGGTTGTGTTCACGAAGACCCGTTGTATGTTCCCCCATTGTTAGGGGAGAATAGCCATTTGGTCCCCTTGGGCCATCAGCCCAAGTAGGACCATGTTTGTGATGACCTTAAACATGGCCCCACTCGTCACGGGACCTAGTGAGGAGGCAAGGGGTATCCCAACAATCCCAAGGATACCCACAAGATAACGGCCCGCAAGACCCAACTACTTGTACTCGTCTCCCCCGCCCGACCCCACCGGTGAGAACACGACCGCAGTTAGCCAAAATTTCCCAAAAGGTTATAGAGGTTGACCTTGACATTAAATCTGTTACTATCAATGAAATTGTCCAACCCAATAAACAGAAGAGGGAAGCACTTTGGAACCAGATAACTCAAGACACAAAGGGGAAACGATCAAAAGCAATTGCGAGAGACTCACCTGACAAACTCTCCAAAACACTGGTCAGGGCACAAGCCAGTCCGGTTTATTATTTTCTGGCATGACCTGTTTCCGGGTATGAAAACTAAACCACCAGTACCTCTGAAAGTCACGGTGGTTGACAAGCCATGACAATGATGAACAAACGAGCCAATATGAGAGCACCTAAATTCACTCGACTAGAAAAGTGTTTACTCTATATTTTTCCACCACAGTTATATGAGAACGATAGTCGTGGTTTAAAACCTGAAAACCTGTATTATGGCATGAGTCGTGCACTTAACATTGACCCAAATCACACGGCCGACGAAACTCGGAGCCATGTTTATTAGAAGAGTATATCCTAGTGTGTCAAGCAGTTTGCCCATTCCTTCCAGCAACCAAAAAACTCAGCAGCAAAACCAAATAGAGCATTATCATGAAAATATTAGGGATATCCTCAAAGATGCAACTCTGGTTTGATAGTGATCAAGAAAAGAATTTCAGCAGTTGGCATTGCTACAAAATACTCAGCCCGATGTAGGAATGAACTGATGACAATAAGCTTTTGTTGCTTACAAGAAAAAGATCGGAGACCTGAATCGCCTAAGGGATATAAGTCAAGAGTTCATCAAGGAAGATTGATCTCGATGAATTGGAATGTAGCAGACCCCACGAGGCTGAGGTAGCATTTAAAGTTGAAAGCCTCAGAAATCTCGGCGCCCACCCATACTTGTATTTTCGAGGGTAAGATTTTCATCATAACAGCAAAAACCAGATGCTCGCAAAAAAGTCTCAACCTTCGAACACGAAGATGCACAATCTGTAGCGAAAGTGATACGTCGTCAATTAGTCGTAAACTACGGATAAGGAATTTGTCCCAGTGTAATGAA